GGTGTTGATTACAATTAAGATAATGATAATAGAGATGATTACAAAATACAGGAAATGATAAAGGAATAATTGGTTCTTTAAAAACTCGCAAACTTTTCCCACATTGCAAGTGGATTTCCTTACAGGGCGAGCTTTACCACTTCGTATCTCAACATCGTGGAGGTATAAAAGAACTGGCTTAAGAACTGGAACTCGAGGTAGTTTCTTAAGGTTTCCTTGGCATAACAGGACTGACCGATCTATATTTTCAGTACTAGAACGGCATGAACACGCATACGCTGCAAGCTAACATCTAACTTAAAAATTGATATGACCTCCTCCCTTGAAGAGTGGTTGTGCCTGATGTATAATTCGAAGCAAGGTCAGAGGCGAAGGCGAAGTGACGCCAATGGAATGAATGATCTCATTCGATAGATTGAAGCAACGCTCTGTGAGACGCAGCAGTGCTTGGATAACGTCAGTGCCTTTATCTGAAATTACAAAAAAGTATTTGTAAATTTGCATGAGTCACAAGGTGAGGTTAACTTGCCACAGTAACATGCACCTTCTTAACAACAATAATAGTAATAATAATAATGAAGAGTATTTCTATAGCGCACAACTCCAATAAATTGCCCGTGGTGCTTTACAACAAATAAAGATATTATATAAACAGACTTCATTTACTAATATTCACTAACAAACATTTTTAAAAGTAAAGTTTTCAAAACGCTTTTAAAAATGTCAACAGAAGAACTCCTACGTATTGAAAGAGGCAAAGAGTTCCACAATCTAGGAGCACATACTGCAAACGATCGATCTCCATAAGTTCGCATTTATGAAGATGGTTCTACAAGGTCGCCATCACTAACAGATCGCAAAGAATAAGAGCTCCTACGATAACAAGCTGGAACTTGTCTCAGCTCTTTAAGGGAGGCCACTCAGAATATCTCGATTCTCCCTGGTTAGGACTCCGATCCAAACAGAAGTTTCCCCCCCTTTCACCCACCTTCTGGTAGTTTTTGGCGGTTTCAATGATTTCTCTTATTCCCAGGCAAAGACGAGGTACTTGCTCAGTATAACCAGAGGTACGTGAAAATGTGCCCTCAGTACGCCATAACTAACCTAATGTCAATAAATTTCTTTTAGTATCCGCCTTAACCCAGCAAAGAGTCTCTTCTGTAGAGTCCAATTTGTCAGGAAGTTTTCTACACCGAACAAAACAAAACAAAAGAAAAAAAAGAAGAAAAACAAATAAACAAAAAAACATTAATGCTAAGTGGTATAACGGAAGCCTCAGTCAAAGACCTTAATCCCTGCTGCATGAAAACTGATTGAAGATGTTAACGCGGGTATGATTAGCAGGCAGAAAGAATGGACAAACTCAGAGGGCCCCCTAC